ATATATTTGCATAGGATAATTTCAGATATATTCCCATAGCATAATTTCAGATATATTTGCACAGGATAATTTAAGATATATTCCCATAGGATAATTTCAGATATATTTACACAGGATAATTTCAGATATATTCCCATAGGATAATTTCAGATATATTCCAGTAGGATAATTTCAGATATATTCCCATAGGATAATTTCAGATAATTTCCTGTCGGATAATTTCAGATATATTATATACTTTACATTTATTTCCATAGGATGTTCCTGTAGTAAAGCAGAACCAGCATTTAAAGGACTATGACCCTGAAATATTTGATGATGATGATTTTTACCACCAAGTAAGGTTCAGTTTTAAGAAGCTAGCATACTGTTAATTGATGTATGGGCAGCCAGCTAATTATTTTTATTATTATTATTAGCTCCTCCGTTGAGAAGATCTAGCAAAACCCGGCTGATTGATTAATAGAAATTTTTTGTATGGGCAGCCATTCAGGCCAATTATTTTTATTATTATTAACTCCTCCATAGAGAAGCTCCAGCAACACCCAGCTGATTGATTAATAGATATTTTTTGTATGGGCAGCCATTCAGGCCAATTATTTTTATTATTATTATTAACTCTGTTGAGAAGCTCTAGCAACACCCGGTTGATTGATTAATAGATATTTTTTGTATGGGCAGCCATTCAGGCCAATTATTTTTATTATTATTAGCTACAATGAGAAGCTCTAGCAACACCCGGCTGATTGATTAATAGATATTTTTTGTATGGGCAGCAATTCGGGTCAATTATTTTTATTATTATTAGCTACAATGGGAAACTCTAGAAATACTCGGCAAATTGATAAATAAATTTTTTTGAGCTCTAGTAATACCTGGCTGATTGATTTATCTTTTTTGCTGATTGATTAATAGATCTTTTTTGTATGGGCGGCCGTTAGGGCCAGTATACACTACAGCATTTATTATACAGCCTTTAGTGTACACTACAGCCCTTATATATTTTTTTCTCAAAATGTCCAACTCAAAGAGCTCAATCACCAAGCGCATAGAGGCTTTTTCGCATGATGCGCTCTACAAATCCAACTATTATTATTATTATTATTACTGTCCTCATCAGAGCTTTCGAGATTACGAGACCTTGATTTGGCTTTGATTGTCATGACAATATATTTCAGATCATTACAACTTATGTATACATTATATCATTCATTCATTCATTCATTCAATATTTTTAGCTTCTTAGGGAGTTGATTGAAAGACGTACAGCTGGCACCACAGATCCTAATCAATTGACAAGGTGAGTTAGTGCATTTTGCTATCCTGTAATGTTCACTCTATTTCAGCATCCCTAGTGTACTATTAAAAAAAAAAGCTATATGTAAAAATGTATCTACTTAACATAGTACACACCTTTGTTACAGTCACAAAAAAACATTTGCAGTTAGTAATATAGAACAATTCAATTGTAATTATAATAATTGTTGATTGAGTAAGAGTAATCTATACAGTTATAATTTGTTGGAAGATATAAAAAAATGTTGTCAAATATTAAATATTTTAATAAAATTAGTGTATATGTTTTATTTTCTATTAGGCAATGGTTAGAGGTCCAAAAACTACGGAGCAAAGTTCGCAAGAAAGTTGATACAAAAGCCAGCAAAGGCCGAAAAATACGGTGAATTGTTTTTAAAAGGATTATTGTACCAAACCTAACTATACAGTATTTATATATCATGGATATTTCCATTATCATCGTTATTGTCATTGTCATAAAAAACAACAATATAATAATGTGTTACTGTCGAACGTGATTTACATCACTCCAATTTGTGACAAATTCTTTGCTATCGTCTCTGCTGTATTACAGTAGTTTAAGAGTAAATCTGGTTGGATGAATGATGAGATGCATCATAAACTAAAGATAGAAATGAACAGTCTTCCAAAAGTAAGCCTACAAAGTATAATGCCATGCCTAGACCTGCTCTAGAAAGAACTAAAAAGTCAACAATCTATTACTTGTACAGTTATTCATGTGAATTTGCAACACAGAAAACTGGATGGGTTATGAGTTGAGAGTATTTAAAAAAAATATAGCAAGCAGTAGACACATTAACTCCTGATTAAGGGCTCATACAATTGGCAGAATATATATTAAATAATTAAACTCATTATTTTAAACTCAAATCTACAATAATTGTCAGTAGTTTTAAAAGTATATAGTTGAATTGTTATATTGAAAATAATTATAAAATAATAATAATAATGCATGCAATTTTCCATAACATATCAGCACTAGTATATACTATCTGTTTATCAGAGATATGGAGATATGCCTAATATTACCATGTAACCTTAGAATTCAGATGGATTTAAAATTTATGACCATTTCCATTTTACAACCACAGCTTGGACGGAACTGTACGTAAATCACATGTCCGACTCTAATCTTCGCTACTTTGGGAAGTCCATTTTATGTACTTCCGTTTGCCTATGTAGGAAGTAAATGCTTAGCTGGCAGAATAAATGTTTTATTCTTCAGTAGTAATCATAAACGAGCATCTTAACTGAAAGGCTCCTAACTCCATTTACCATTTTGATTTTATAGATATGAAGTGCATCAGAAATTAGTAAGCTTTATGGCCCCAGATGAGACAAGTTCTATGTCGGATGAATCAAGGTAAGTGATGTGGAAAAAGCAATCAAGCTGATGTGAAAGAAGCAGTAAATCTTAAGCTTGTCTACACACAATCAAATTGTATGTCACAAAATTGTGTGTTTCTGCCCATATATGGGTATGATGATGTAATATTACAGCCAAATATGGGCATATCATTTGTTTGTCACATAAAATTTTAATAGTGCTCATAAATGAAAATCCAATTTGGCTAATGATTAGGATAAACAAAGTGGTATCTTTAGTAGATCAACATATTGTTGTATTTGTTGGCCTTGTTTCAATACCAATTGGAAAAATTACCACCACCCCAGAGAAAAAAAAAATATTTGATCGATTAGACTCGATAAGCACAAAAATGCAATGGGATTCATATCTTGTCTGAGAAATCTGCACCTATTTATAGTATCGGATTAGATGCAACTGAAGTATTTATTGAGTTTTGTTTTTCGTTTACCTTCATCCCTCACGGGGAAACTTGATTGTAAATGTTTATCATCACTACTAATGAGGTAATGTCTTAGTGCTGCCAGTTTATGGACGTATTGTAGTCTGTGTAATTCCAGCATTTAAAACATTTATATTTATGAATGTTCTGAGCAAAACTTTACAAGGCTGATACCCACATACCTGTATGGCTAGCTGCTAAATATTAGCCTTCTTAGCCTTCTAACATTAAACTACAAAAATAGAATTGAAACACAAAGAAGCATTACAAAATCATTGTACGTTTGCAGCAATTTTTCATGCAGCAAAAAAAGGATAAAGCAAAGCTCTCGGCCTAAGTTCTCATGCATGTACAATTATGGAACATTGACTCAGGTCAGGTGTCAAATATTGCATTTCCTAATTGAGTACATATACGATAACTGAAGGATATGTTTTAGTTGGTTGGAAGCTGTTTAACAGTATCTTTTAAAGTATATAAATCATACAGACTTTGATTTGAATACTGTTGAGGACAATACAGTACCAGTTTTGGTTTTGAAGCTTTAACTACCGGTAGTTGATTATGATTAATTTTCTTAATAATAGCAAAATCTTAAATCTTATCTTATTCACAGAACGGAACTTTACAAGTCACTGTTTGGGCAACGGCTTGATCACGGTCATAGGTGATGAAGGTGCGGAGATCACTGAATGTTTCACTTCCGTCTACATTTACTTTAATTCAAACTGTTCTGATAAACATCATTTAACTCCAGAATAATGTCATCATGAGATTTGTTTGTTTTTCGTCCTTTTTATAAGGAGGGAATTTAATATAAAATGGATTACTTAAAGCATTTTAATAATGTAAATGAAAGGAGTATTTTGTTTAATAAAGAACAACATCAAATAACATTTGCATTCACTGGTTTCTGTTAATAATCATTGGCAGTCAATCAGGATTTATAAACCACTGCAAGCAACGATTAGTGGTACTCTGACATGCATAGATCACCTATTATTACCACCTCCGAAAACGAGGTTATGTATTCACAGCTGTCTGTCGGGCAATTTGTCTGTCAGTCTGTTAGCAAGATTACGCAAAAACTAATGAATGAATAATCATTAACCGAAAGGTCCACTGATTAATCTCAGATAAGATAGTATACATACTTAAAGTATCGAAATGCACACCATCGTGTCGGGATTAAATATTTCGTCATTAATTATGTCATCATCAGGAATGAAAAATTATCCATATTTGCAAGCTTATATATATGCTCAAGTACCAAAAGTGTAGTGGAATGGTACATACTAATCAAATGAAAACTTTCATTTTTCAGAAGGTCAAGGCCATGAAAATAATGGAAATTCCCCTCAAAAAAATCTTGTGCCGAATATGGCAGCCGATTCCATTATTTCTTGATGGTAGACTGCACTTTCGCCCATCATACACGGCCCGCGTATTGATGGTACTGTATTCAGGGAGTGGGCGAAGGTATGCACTTTTGGAGTGGCTGCTCTAGTTTATGTTTTAAGCTAAAATAAAATAAAAACATAAAATATGGACAGGTCTCGTATACGAAGGATACAGTAATAAGTCTTTATTGCTAATTGCATATGTTTAACACGCAGAATTTTTCAAACAAGGTGTGGGGAGGGGGGGAGAAAACAACATTTTCAGAATAGATAGCGAGTTGTATTAGCCTTAATATATGCATTTAAATTTTAAAATATAATGGAAAATGGAGAAGGAACGTTCATCATACCCCTTAATGGATTTGTGCGTGGTAGTATATTAGGTAATGTACACTAAAGTGAAATCTGTTGGTACTGTGCACTATTTACTGTACTAAAATTTAGATAATGCTTGATGGTATGTTGAAAGCCAGTGGGAGATGTTAATGGGATAAGTACAATATTAGGATTCTAATTTCGATGCCTTTTAAGCTGCCATATCTTAATTGAGTTTTAGTAGTTTAAACTGTACTCTGATCATTTACAGTTTTGTATGTTATCAGAAGTAGCTCAGATGCGGATTTCGTGAGGGGACACAGACAGGTGGATGTGCGACCTAGGTTTGCCACTGACATTCTTTATTTTATTAACAAAAACACTAAGTGTAATACAAATACATGTTGCAATATTCCGTAACAGCATAAAGCGAACACGTATTTTTGGGCATCTATTAAGCATAAATTCTGTCGCGAGGGTGCTGCCTAACCCACCTCCCCTTCCTACCCCCGCATTCCCATGCTAGTTCCCTTTACTTTGTACTATTCTTTGACACTTGTGCCTCCTTGTGTAAACAAATCTTGGATCCGCTCTTGGAGGTTTATAAGGCATGCTACAGGTTTGATCTGCCAGCCAATCATCATGCTCTGACATATTTTTCAGTGGTGATTATTTGTAGATTTAATCGCCTGCGCTAGGCTACACTTTTTAACTTCTGTACTGATCGGTTTTTTTTTTGTTTTTTTTTAATTTTAAGTCAGTAATCGTGGTAAGCCCTAAACAAAAGAGTAAATCAGAACTTTAAAAAAATGAACATGAAACGAATGTTTAGAGCAACAAGAAACTGTAGTGAGAATGAAGAGCAAGGACAGCTTAGATCTATTATGCGAATGACCACTCTTGTCGGCAGATGTGAATTATATTAAAAGTAAAGTGAAAACCACACAAACACATGGGCATACGTATTGCGTTAGTACTGAGCTTTCGATTGCGCGACGACGGTAGAACGTAATGACGTCACTAAAAGTTATCTGCACATGCGATAACGATAAGTTGTGGTCACGTGGATTCTAGGACGCAATTTGGCCACATCTACGTATGCAGAGAACGTAGGACGTCCTATGAGACGGTCACACATTGAGTGATTTGACTAGGTAGCAAATCGAAAGCTACTTAGTATTGGGTCTACCTAGTAATGGGTAATGGCTTAGTGCTATTAAATAACTCCATGGTATAGTTATAATACGCGTTGTTTGCATGTTTACACGGTCTATCTTTCAAAGAAGATCAGATGAATATACAGTCATTCCAGTTGTATCATCAGCAAAGTGGCCATGGACATGGCAGTTGGGAAAAGAAAATATTTGGAGTTTTTACAAAATCGCATCGCTCCATTTCTGTAAATTGCAAAAGTGATTTACAAGTAGGTATTGGTGGTACTGCATATTAGAAATATATAAATAATACAATAAATAATGATACTATTTAAAAATATATAAGTAAACTAAAAAATGTAAATCAAAATCTGAATATCACAACGAATGTCTACCATGCTGTATAGGGATTAAAGAAATATCATCATCATCATCATCATCATAATACTACTTTCAATATTATTACTGTTGTTGTTTATGTATATTATTATGTCATTATTATTATCTTTGTTGTTATAACACAACTCTTATATAAGGCCTTTTTTGTTAAACCAGTGACAGGCCCGTAACCAGATGGTGTTATGTTTTAACCAAATTCCTTTTCTAGTAAACCCCTCTGATAAACGATTTCAGCCTCTCTACTTACATCAAAACGATGGTAGTGGTGGGCGGAGCGAGCCGGCCCCGACCCCCGCTCCCTTTTTTTGGAAAGTCAAGAAAAGGGGAATAAGAAAGAAAACAAATTATTGATCTCCCCGAAAACGCCAAAGATTATTTCCTCCTTTCTTGAAAACAAACATTTTCCGAGTACATTCCCCTAGGGTATTATTGTCTGTCGATCTCCCCCTCCCTTTTGGACTACTCTGGATCCGCCCCTGGGTTCCTTATCCAAAATTTTTGAAAAACAAATCTTACCCCCTGATTTTATGCAACAATGACAGGATATAGATGTGTCTGTTTTGGTACAGTAAGAATAGTTATTTTGTTGTTTCACCTTGGACAAGTAATCCACTTCATGTACAGGAAACGTTTGCTACAAATGCATTTGGACAGCACTGTTCCCATAGTCTGTCACGAGATTTATTGTATATTAAACTTGTATATTTACATACAAAATAATAAGAAAAACAGAGTGTATTCGACTGATTCTGATTCGTTTCCCCATCTGAACTGGTAATTTCCACGTACATAAAAATATGCCTCAAGGAATTAACACTATTATTTTTAGAGCCAACTCATGTGATGTTTATAAATTCGTCTTCGAGTGCTCTTGTACACATTTAGGAGTTCGATTCGATGATCTATACATTATTGTGTTGATGAACTTTATAGAAAAAACGTTATCGCAATGGCTTTAACCTGGTGTATTTTTGTCATTTCACATTTGAGTTTGTGTACCCAGTTTGCATGGACGCATGCTGATAATTATCCTTTTGTAATCAACCAGACTGACATACTAGACAATATTACTTGCGATGTAAACCCACGTATAGAGATTTTGAACAGTACCACCGGTAGTTACTGTACTATTAGCAGAGATGAATTATTTAACATGAGTATGCAATCCACTTCCAAAATTGTCCACTTTACTGTGGATTATAAGCCTGATTTTATTTGGGTCACCGATAAGCTTGCATTGGGATCAAGAATCATCTCATATCCAGTAAATTATAAAGTCTTGTCTTTGGGAACATTGAAGTTAAGCCTAAATTATATGTTTGCGCATCTCTACTTCAACACTACAACAGGATACAGACCGTGTACTTCTATTGAGAATTATACGAGTCTGATGTTATCGATGATAGGAAAAAGAAAAATCAGGAACAGTTTCGTTTGTGAGTACAACTTTAATCCACCTTCAAGTATTTACAATTATTATCTCTTCATGCAAGGATTTATAAATGATCGCTGTTGTAAGGTGGCGGAAGGAAGGAGTTGTAACCCTAAGCGTGAATACATCAACTACGATGGTACGCATATTATTGAGGTTGTTAGTTGTTTTGTGCTGCTATATAGTCCATTGCTGATTGGTGTGTTTTTGTTTAACCCTAATTGGAATCCATGTAATAGGCCTATTGTTCGAGAGAGAGGAGGATATTTCACTTTGGAGCAGGAAGATGAAAATGACAGTCACGGCCCAAGATTGAGTTTAACTTCGCCACTACCGCTTGGCATGAAATACACACTTTTACATTGGGGAAACAGCCGTAGACCAATTCTAGGCCTTCGAATTATAATACTTACTGTACTGATCGGTGCAATTTTGAGGTGGAAGAGTCAGTTGGGAAACATTATTGTATTGAAAATTTATATTATGGTTTTTGTGTATGTAACTTTACCGACGTTTGTAATCTTAATTGTTGTTCTTCGTCCGGCCTCCTTGTCTATTTTCAACGACGGATCTGAATGTGACTTAGACTTCGACAAAAACCAATACACGTGTCTGTATCGACAAATACTGAATCGATTCCAACATGTAATAAGTTTGCGATTTTGGAGGGAAAGACCATTTGTTGAGATCACGTCTCAAAGCAAGCCAATATTTCACTGCCTATATTTCATAATAAGTGTAATCATTGCATTCGTTTGTCTACTAAGGTGCATATTTCCGTCATTTTTTTTTATATCAGCTCCGATGATTTCTCTCTGCAAATCGTTCAACAATTTCAACAACATTCCTCACGCAAGGAAGTGTAATCTACTTTACTTTCTGAGGGATCTAATACGCGCCATTTTGTTTACCATCTTTGTTTTTTTGTTTTGTTTACAACTGATGGGTATTGCGATTATCCTTACACAGATGATCATCCTGACAACTATAGGTATCGCTACTGGTTATGATAACGACAGTGCGGTGTTGATAGTGATTGCATTATTAGCATCCGGCTTGTACATCCTGGGAAGTTTCAATGAGTATTACAACTATTACGAACAAATTTGGTACACCACAGTTGAAGCTGGAGAGTCGTGGCAAGCTGGTCATGATCTTGAAAATCACGTTGACGATCACAATTTTCTCTCAGAGAATGTTTG